CCTTCACCCCTACCCTGTGCCAACAGGAGTGCCTCCTTCTCTGCTTTGTAGGATGGACAAGATTGAAGGGAACATAATTGCTCAGGGTCTCCAGGCTGACTATAAATTGAGGAAGGAAAACCAGGTCAGACCCCGGGGCATGGGTGAGGCCTCAGCATCCCTGAGGCCTGCAGCCCCAGCTGGCACCCTTGGCAAGGATGTCATTCTTGGTTGGGATTTCCTGAAGGTCCAGCTAAAAAAACAAAATGAGAGGTAATGACTCAGTTATTGAGTTTCTTCCCTATCTCCTCTCCATCTTTGATCACATTCAGATCCCAGCGTGATGCAATTCCAGATGGTGGGGGCCAGGCCCAGAGAAGGGACAAGTCAGAAGGAGCAGGTCACCAGCAATGTGTCTTCAGTAAGGGTTTTTGCACACTCATCCATCGTGTCCCTGCACTTCCCAGAAACACCTCGCTTCCCACCCTTCGGCCTCCACAGTCAGACCCACATGGCCCCTCACAACCCACACCATCCAGGGTCACCCTCATTCCACCCGGACTTTCCAGCCCCATACACTCTGCCCCCTCATACATACTTGTCCCCGATATATTCTGCCCATATCTTATAAATAGTACTGCTATGAACATTGGGGTGCAGGTGTCTTTATGAAGTAGGGCTCCTTCTGGATATATGCCCAGGAGTGGGATTCCTGGGTCATACGGTAAGTCTATTTCTAGTCTAAAAAAGACACATTTATTCAGTGTTATGATCTGACTATTACATTTTCAATCAACAGCATGGGTGCCAAAAAAAAAAAACTACATTAAAGCCCTTACTTGGAATGCTTTACACTTTCCACAGAACAGAAACTAACATAACCTGTCATACAATTAGTGACAAATACAGTCCTTTTTTTGCCCAAACACATGAGTACTGCCTAAAACATGTCGTCTTTGTAGCAGCTACGACCTACCACCACTGTGTGTGGCTCAGTACACAAATCTGTTGTAACCTGGACCTTCCCTGTCACTTCTCTGGCTCTCCTCTCCTGCTAAGCTTTGTTTCCTGGCAGTAATTAAAACCTTCTGCCACTGCCAGACCTACTGCTGCTGCTGGAATTGCCAAAGCCACCTTGGTTTCGTGGTTTGGCAAAGTATTGGCTACCACCCAAAGGGACCAGAACTTCTGCCTTTGAAGTTTCCTCCTTTCATGGGTCCAAAATATGAAGATTGATTGTTGTAATTGTCAGAATCATTGTAGCTTCCACCACCTCCAAAATTGCTTCCATCATCACCAAATCCACTGTAGCCATCCCCACTGCCACCATATTCACCACCACACCACTGTAACCAAATCCACCTCAACCACTTAGTTTCCTCCATGACCAAAATTGTCATTCCCACCAAAACCACCTCTGCGACCACCACCGAAGTTTCCAGGACCACTTCAGCCTCTTTGGCTGGATGAAGCACTAGCCATCTCTTGCTTAGACAGGGCTTCCCTTACTTCACAGTTGTGGCCATTCACAGTACGGCACTTCTGAATGACAGTCTTGTCTATGGAGTCATGGTCGTCAAAGGTTACAAAAGCAGAGCCTCTCTTCTTGCCACTGCCCCTGTCAGTCATGATGTCAGTCACTTCAATTTTCCCATACTGTTCAAAATAATCCCTCTGGTGATGTTCCTCAGTGTCTTCTTTAACGCCACCAACAACAATCTTTGTCACAGTTAAGTGGGCACCAGGTCTTTGAGAATCTTCTCTTGAGATGGCCCTATTTGGTTCCACAACTCTTCCATCCACCTGGTGTGGCCTTGCATTCATGGCTGCATCCACCTCCTCCACAGCGGCATCCGTGACAAAGCCTCTGGAGAGCGTGGTGTTTGGATCCCTCACTGCCGCACAGTCTGTGAGCGTTCCCCATTGCTCACAGTGGATCCTCAGACTCTCATCCGTTGTTTCAAACCTCTGATGAAGACCTTCTGCAGCTGTTCGGGCTCTTTGGGAGACTCTCACTTAGACATGACGGCAGCAGGGAGGGGAGGCTTAATGCTTCTTACTTGGCGGCGTCCACAGGCAGAAAGGCCTATGTTTAGTTTGTTAAGGAACCTCCATAGTGTTCTCCATAGTGGCTGCACCCATTTCCATTCCCACCAACAGTGTGGAAGGGTTCCCTCTTCTCCTCGCCCTCTCCAGCATTTATTATATTTGCAGACTTTCTGATGATGGCCATTCTGGCTGGTGTGAGGTGATCCCTCATTGGGGTTTTCATTTGCATTGCTCTAATACTTCTCAATGTTGAGTATCTGTCCATGTGCCTGTTGGCCATCTGTATGTCTTCTTTGGAGAAATGTTTATTTCGGTCTCCTGCCCAGTTTTTGATTGGGTTGTTTGTTTTTTGTTATTGAGCTGTATGACCTGGTTTGTATACTTTGGAAATTAATCCCTTGTGGTTTGCATCATTTACAAATACTTTCTCCCCCCATTCTGTAGGTTGCCTTTTCATTTTGTTTATGGTTTCCTTTGCTGTGTAAAATGTTTTAGGTTTAACTAGGTCCCTTTATTTATTTTGGCTTTTATTTCCATTACTCTAGGAGAAAAAGTGAACACATCTTTTTTTTTTTTGCACACATCTTAAATGATCAGCTTGAGGTTTTTTTAAAGATGGACTTCACCTGCACAAAATCACCTACCAGATTAAGTTACAGATCTCTATGCAATCAACATCCACTATTCTGACTTCTAGTACCAAAGATTAATTTTGTTTGTGTTGAAATTTATATAAATGAAATCATAAAATATATATTCATGTCTGGCATTTGCCTCTGAATATCCTTTCTAAATGAGGCATCCATGTTTTTATAGCAGTAGTTTACTCTTTATCTATTGCTTTGTAAGTTTCCATCTGTGCATATATCACACTTTATCTTTTCCTCTGCGCTAGGTGCATGTTTATGCATTAACATGGCCAGCCTGCTTCTTACCTGCTGTGCTGCCTGCTCCTACGTTTCTTGACGACGACGACGACGACGACGAAGACGACGACGATGACGATGACGACGACGACGACGACGACGATGACGATGCCGCAAATTACAACCGAGCAGACAGGGATCAATTCTGATTTAGTTGACCAGACGGATGCAGAATGGTTGTTATCTGGGTCCTTCAGTGGTGGTTCTAAAACAAACAATAAAGAGAAGCCTTGTCAACTCTAAGAATATACCTTCCTCAGCACCTATTGTTCCCAGACAGCACATGTCCCCCCACATAGTGACTGACCCTTTATGTGAAGTCACCCTGCCAGGTCCTGGGGAGGAAGATGAACAGACGTTGTGCCCGGTCCTTATGGAGCTCACATCTCTTCTCAGGGAGGCAGCAAATGTCCATCTGATTACCGTTCAGGCAGACATGCTTGCCGGGGAAAGACCTTTCTGAGGACAGATCTGGGGGTCTTAATT